TCTTGAATTCAAAATGGCGTCAGACATCTATTTCCGGACCCTATACGTCACCCCAATTCTAAAAATACCCATATTGAGGGGTATTAGACATAATTTTCAAGTTTTTCTCCAACCGGAAACCGCCATCTTGAATTCAAAATGGCCTCAGACATCGATTTCCGAACCCTACACGTCACCAAGATTCCAAAAATACTCCTACTGTGGGTAATTTGGCAATAATTCCCAGTTTTTCTCCCACCGGAAGCCACCATCTTGAATTCAAAATGGCGTCAGACATCTATTTCCGGACCCTATACGTCACCCCAATTCTAAAAATACCCATATTGAGGGGTATTAGACATAACTTTCAAGTTTTTCTCCAACCGGAAGCCGCCATCTTGAATTCAAAATGGCCTCAGACATCGATTTCCGAACCCTACACGTCACCAAGATTCCAAAAATACTCCTACTGTGGGTAATTTGGCAATAATTCCCAGTTTTTCTCCCACCGGAAGCCGCCATCTTGAATTCAAAATGGCGTCAGACATCTATTTCCGGACCCTATACGTCACCCCAATTCTAAAAATACCCATATTGAGGGGTATTAGACATAATTTTCAAGTTTTTCTCCAACCGGAAGCCGCCATCTTGAATTCAAAATGGCCTCAGACATCGATTTCCGAACCCTACACGTCACCAAGATTCCAAAAATACTCCTACTGTGGGTAATTTGGCAATAATTCTCAGTTTTTCTCCCACCGGAAGCCGCCATCTTGAATTCAAAATGGCGTCAGACATCTATTTCCGGACCCTATACGTCACCCCAATTCTAAAAATACCCATATTGAGGGGTATTAGACATAATTTTCAAGTTTTTCTCCAACCGGAAGCCGCCATCTTGAATTCAAAATGGCGTCAGACATCTATTTCCGGACCCTATACGTCACCCCAATTCTAAAAATACCCATATTGAGGGGTATTAGACATAATTTTCAAGCTTTTCTCCAACCGGAAGCCGCCATCTTGAATTCAAAATGGCCTCAGACATCGATTTCCGAACCCTACACGTCACCAAGATTCCAAAAATACTCCTACTGTGGGTAATTTGGCAATAATTCCCAGTTTTTCTAACACCGGAAGCCGCCATCTTGAATTCCAAATGGCGTCAGACATCTATTTCCGGACCCTATACGTCACCCCAATTCTAAAAATACCCATATTGAGGGGTATTAGACATAATTTTCAAGTTTTTCTCCAACCGGAAGCCGCCATCTTGAATTCAAAATGGCCTCAGACATCGATTTCCGAACCCTACACGTCACCAAGATTCCAAAAATACTCCTACTGTGGGTAATTTGGCAATAATTCCCAGTTTTTCTCCCACCGGAAGCAGCCATCTTGAATTCAAAATGGCGTCAGACATCGATTAAGGGTCCTTACACAGCACCCCGTCTACAAAAATACCAATATTGTGGGTAATTTGGCATTATTTCCCAGTTTTTCAATAACCGGAAGCCGTCATATTGAGTTTCAGAAGGACGTCAGACATGGTTTTCCGGTCTCTACACGTCACCCGGATTCCAAAAATATCCATATTGAGGGGTACTTGACCGAATTTCCAAGTTTTTCTTTAACCAGAAGCCGCCATCTTGAATGTCAAAATGCCGTCAGACATCGATTTCCGGTCCTCAAACGTCACTCTGACTCCAAAAATACCCATATTGTGGAGTATTTGACAGAATGTACAAGTTTTTCTCGCACCGGAAGCAGCCATATTGAATTTCAAAAAGGCTTCAGACATCGATTTTCAGTCCCTACACGTCACCAAGATTCCAAAAATACCCATGTTGTTGGTTATTTTGCAGTACTTCCCAGCTTTTCTCTAACCGGAAGCCGCCATATTGAAATAAAAATAACGTCAGGCGTTGATTTCCGGTCCACGTACGTCACCCAGATACCAAAAAATACCCATTTTGTGCGGTATTCGACAAAATTTTCCAAAAACTTTTTAGGAAATAAATCGCAAATAATGTTTTTTGCGTCTATTTCGATTTACGAACCGCCGGTGTGGTTCGTAAATGGAGGAATACACTGGAACCTGGACCCTAATTATAAAAAAACCACGATTGGAAAAAAAAAATCTTCGTCCGCAACCGAAAACAACAAACAGCCAAAACTGAAAGCCGACCATTTTCAATCCATTTAAATGATGTTTTTATGCATGATTTCGAACATGTGAACGCGGATTATGTTTAAGAAAATAATAAAATATTTAATCTATCTTGTTTGACATGAAATACGACTCGAACGCATGTTCATAGTAAAAAATAAGAAACTGCGATTAAACTGACAAATGAACCTACAAAAACTGCATGGGCCTTCTTCGGAAAACAAAGCAAACTGACATTTCGGTGAATGAACACCGAGTCGCTTTGCAACTCACCTAAGAATGAACCTCTCACCTCACCCGAGTCGACTGTCGGAATAGAGTGAGAAGAGTCATGTGACTGCGAGGTGACAATTGTCGTCTCACCTCATACGCCACGCAGAATAACCCTGAGTAACTCACACAGTCGCGCGTGCCTAGACGAATGTGTAGGCATTGTTTACATTTTCTTCTGTCGTTTCGCTTTTCTCATCATCGTACTGCAGAAGTCTTCACTGTTTTCGTTGTGCTTTACGTTTTGCCTGTGAGCAGCGACCATTACTGGTGATGGTTGTTTGCCATGGCTCTACCGCTTACTGCGTGACAAAGCGTTCTGTCAGCGATAGTCAGTTGATGCGTTGACGAGTGTCGAGTGAGTGTCATGATATTTTGCATCACTGGCCTGGTGGCGATCGTTTCCATGGGGGTTCCACTGCTATGTTCGTAGATCTGAAGATCCAGGTAGCAGAAAATCGCCTAGGAATGCTGAAGGACGGAGTCTTGGACATGGGAACGACATCCTAGTTCTAGGTAGAAAATAACAATGAAAAGAGCTATGACACAGAGGTTGATATCATTGTCCAACGTATGGGGATAATGATGTTCTCAAACTCTCGAGTCCCTCAGAAGTGTAAGCTCATGGGTTTTTCTTGTTTGAAATCATTTACGTGTGTTTTGTTCGTCAATTTTATTATGTTTTCGAAAGATTTTTGTTTAAGTTAAAAAAAAACACCTGTTAACGTCGTCTCTTCCGCAATGGCATCCTTTCCTTGTTTAGGTCCTTTCAAGTTGTCTTTAGAAATTCACGAATTGTCACAAATTAATAGACATTAACAATCTCAAGCTTCTGTTCAGACTTTCCGGAGAATTCGTACTGTACGTAACAGGGCTAGTAAGTTTTTTAATTTTTTTAAAGATCTTTATGGAAAGTTTCTCTAAGTTCATTATTAGATGGCTGCCGAAACATCTTTAGAGATGGAATGTATTGCATAATCCTTTTACTTGGATTTCCTGTAACTAGATTTCTTCAAATACCTTTTTCGAAACCCTTCTGGAACATTAGGGAGCCATCTGAACAGCAATTTTATAGATCAGTAACTGCTTTTTTCAAGAATTCGTTAAAACAGAAAGCTGAGAAAAACGATGTTGAAGATTTTTTTCTTCATGGGCTCATAGTTTTGTATTTTAGGCAACATTTTCTGAACAAAGCAGGAAACTTTTCGTGTACATTGTAAAGTGATGGTGCTTGACAATCGATTCCAATGTTTAACTCATTTTCGCTAAAAATGCTAGTGGGACTGTTATGCCGCACAGGATAGAGTACCCCCTGCCATCACTTGGAACGTTTTCACGACCTCAATGCAATTTAGAGATCTCGACTGATTCGATCGCACCATTCTTGAGAAACTCACTGAATCCTCCCTGAGAACACGTCCCAAGATCTCCCATAAAACCAACACCTTTTCAACGAAAACGATTCCCCTTTCAAACCGTTTGCTCACCTGTTTCACTAGCCACTTTACAGCAAGGTGCGCGTGCAATTGATAAATCTCTTTCCTGCGTCGTCGATGCAACGAAAAATTTAAACAGAACCAATTCGGCACTTATCAACATCTGCTTTTCCATTCCAAGTCCGATCGAGCTCCGTTCTGCTCCCGCGATGTTGCCTGTCTGCCTACTGTCTAAATGCAAATCTTCTGCTTCCACTCTCTTCTAAAATTCTATCTCAAAAAGCCTGTGTTATTGAAAAAAAAATCAATTGTTTTATCTCTTCCCATTTCTGATTGGTTAGATTTTTTGTTTGTTTTCTTCGTGATTGGGCAGTTTTGAATTTCCACACACTCTGCTACTTTGTTTTGAATTTATACGTTTTTGTTTGGACTGAGACGATCACTTTGTCGGTTTTTGTTGTTTTTTGTTTGCTTAAGTTTTTACTTCTTGGTTCTGAGAGCTATCTATCTACTATCTGTCTGTTGCGCGATAGGCTTTGTGTGTGTTCGCCGCTTACAAAAATCCTATTGTCGCTTTCGAACTAAAAAAATCAACACCATCTGGAGGAAAAAAAAAACAAGAGTTCCGGTACTAAAACACTTCGTTAGAAACACGGTTACACAATTTAACGAGAGAATTTGATCTTAGTTTCAATTTTGTTTTTTTTTTTTGTTTTTCGTTATTCATTATGTAAGAGAATTGCCAGGTTATATGGAGATACATGGGTTTTACACTTATTTAAGTTTAGTTTTTCTTTCATTTACGCAAATCCTATTGATCGTTCAATGCATTTTTCTTTATTATCGGATTTTCAAGAGAACTAAAGTTGCATCTTATTCAATTTCTTCTTCTTCTTCTATTGTTGCCTTTTCTGTGATAGTAGTGTTAAGAAAAATGTGGTTCTCGTTCACTGTTATTTATTATCTGTAGCGTGTAAGTGTGAATGTTATTGTTTGTTTGTGTTTGTGTGACCTACTTTTCCTCTTTGTTTGTTCGCTTGTAACAGTGGCCTAATTAGCGGTCCTTCTTTTTAATACAAAAAAGTAGCAGTTTTTATATATTTTCTTTAAATTCAATTAGCGATTATAATCTTCTTTTCAAGAAGTTTTATTTGTTGTTGTATGTTTGTTTGTATCTATCTATCTTCTTTTGGTTGCACACGGTACTTCAAATGGCTAGATCATCAATCAATAAACAGTTTTGATGTTAACGCGTTCGGCTTTGCTTTGCGTTTTCTTTGCTGTTTGCTGGCTTGCTCTTGCACGCTACTACTGATATCAATTCTCTTTTTTTTTTGCTTCTGGCAATTAATACTTTTTTTTTCGTTATTATTTGCATGTAACGTTCTTTTTATTTATTTAACTCGGTGTGATTGAACTCTTAGTTGTTCTACTTTGTGTTTTGCACGTTCCATTTTCCGTGAGCCATTTCGTATTCCGGAGGATGTTTTCCTGCTCAGAATCAGTGTTTGCCGATTTAGGGAGGAGGAGGAGCGGTGTTTTTTTTCTTCAATAATGGTATGTCAAAGAGAGAGAGGATAAAGAAGGAAGCTCGTACGATGGCGCTAGTGGATCCTTAACCGGACGATGCAGTAACGCTGGTGTCGTCGTTCTTCTGGGTGGATAGGGCGGCCTTGTTCTGGCGCACGATTTCCGCGCGTCGCTCCTGGAAAGGAAGGGAGATATGCGTTAGGACGTCTGTTGTAGTAAATCGTTGTGGTACATTTGGTCTTGCATGCAATTATGCCCCAAACTTGCAATACATAGGGGCGATCCATTAAGTACGTTAAGTTGGAAGGGGGCGGGAAAGTTACGTTCAAATGATTAGCAGACAATCGTGCGTTGAATCCCAAGCTGCTCACTTAAAAAATGTGTAACCAAATATTTGCCAATAACGTAACAAAACCCTGATTACGTTCCAAAAATACTGACACTTCCCAAGTAACCACCAAGCCTGTTAATAGTCCGATAAGGCTCTTTTTGCAATATAAGACTATTATACGGCTTTAAATTATATTACCGTAATTGACGCAAGGCCGAATTTGACGTACTTTTGTACTATTCCCGTACTCAGATAAGTATTTCACGAAATAGCTCCAAATGATCACCTACTTCCAACTGCCTATAACTACATATCAGTCCCATATGGAAAAAGTAGGCATTGCGAAAATAGCCATCGAAGTTACGAAGTGCACTTCCCATGTACCTACATACCTACTTGAAAAATCATAGTAAATTTATTGATAATTTTTTTCAGGGTTCAGGGTGGCCAGTGAATTTTCATTTTGAAATTCGCGGTTTTTTCCCGGTTTTCCTGGATCGAATCTTAAAAAATTTCCCGGTTGTTAATATTTAACAAAAAACGAAATTGTACACATTTTTAAAACGCGGCCAACTGTAAATTTTCGGAGGTTATTTGTGGGAAAAATAAAAAGAAAATTACAGAAAGTATTTTTTTTAGTGAAAGTATAAAAAAAAAACGTCACTTAAGTCACTTAACGTATAGAGATCAGTGATGCAAAATATCATGACACTCACGTGACACTCGTCTTCACATCAACCGACTATCGTTGACAGATCGTTTTGTCACGCAGTGAGAGTTAGAGCCATGGCAAACAACAATCACCAGTAATGGTCGCTGCTCACAAGCAAAACGTTACACTCGCTGCTGATAATGAAAAGCACAACGAAAGCAGTGAAGACTTCTGCAGTACGATCATGAGATAAAGCGAAACGACAGAAGAAAATGAAAACAATGCCTACGCATTCCAAGTTCGTCTCGGCAGGCACGAGTGTGTGAGTTACAAACAAAGCAGGCAACATGAAACGGAAGCTGTTGGGGTCACTCTCCAACACACTCACATAAGCAAGCAAAGCAGCAACTGCTTCAAAACGAGCACAGATGAGTGTCGTGATTGTCAGGAATGACCAGATCGGTGATGGATCACAATAGAAGACGACATTCACCAGTTGCTTTTTACTTCTTTCGTCAACTTGATGGATAATTATGGAGAGAGCTTCGACGAGCACATTGATAGGAATGTACAAAGCGTTACTACCATCAGCTGTTTGATGATGGTGATTGTGATAGGTCGCAACTCTGAGCATGTTTACCGTCGATCCCGTATCAAATTCTAGAACCGATATATTAGTTCTCTTCCGGTAAAAGACGTGACCGACAAGCACAAGAACGTGTATCTGACCAAGCATCCTGCTAGCGTTATGTTGTTAGAGTGGTGGCTTCCGATGGCAAAAAATGGACCCGGTGTTCATTCCAGAAGGCGACAAGGTCAACACGGAGCTCTACATCGTGATTTTAAGTAAGTATGTTCTTCCGTGGATCAAATAACAGTACGGTTCGAAGCTAAATGTTGTATTTCAACAAGATGGGGCTCCGTGTCACACCTCGAACCGACCTCAGAAGTGGTTGCAGGAACATCTTCCGTTCTGGGCGAAGGATATGTGGAGGCCATCCAGCCCGATCTTAATCCGCTGGATTACTCAATATGGCGCGTCATGAAGGCCAAGGCCTGTTCTAAACGCCACCCGAGTACAGCAAGCCTCAGACAAACATTGACCCGTACCTGGAGAGAAATGGATCCAGACTGTATTATTAGATCCTGCCGTTCATTCTGGAAGCGTGTGGAGGCCCTAATTGCAGCAAGTGGAAACTCGATCGATGATTAACATAGTTTAAGACTCTAAGAAACATCCCCCCTTTGAATAAATAAAAAACTCGAAAACGAAATTTTTGAGATTTTTTTTAATTTTGGCGTTGTTCAATGGTGCAAACATTATCACGCATACGGTATAGAATCCTACCCTGGATTTTTTAGTAAAATTTAAAAGTATTCAAAGTGTTGATTTCAAATAATTATTGAGGAGGATTCCCACATAACTTTCGAAGGAGAATCTGAGAAGAATTCCAGAATTATTCTGACGTGTAGTCCTTAGAAATTGTGGGGTGCATGTGGAGGGATTTTTGTGGAGGTATTAGAAGATTTCAAAAGGAGTTGTGAAAAAAAAACTTTTCGAAAATTTCCTACCTTTTTCTGAGGACAGTGAAGAAAATGACAGTTGAGTTTTAAGAAGAATTCCAAGAGAATTGTTATGAGAATTCAACAAGAAACAGAGTTCTAAGAGTGTTCTGGCGATAATTACAACCCTAGTGCGAAAGATTCATCACAGAAGGGGTTTCAAGGAAATTCCAAAAAGAATTCAACGGTAATTATTACGCGGAGCGTTTTCTTATTAATTTCAGAAGAATTCCAAGATAATTCAGAGCAAAATTCCTAGTTAATTCTGGAATACAGAATTTTGAATTCGAATTGAAAACGAAAAATTAAAACCCCGGAACATTATAGGGGAATTTACGTATTCTCGGCAACCTAAGCAGCGACCTTCTTTCTATAGCCTTTTTCTCTATGGAACGCACACATATGCAATATTGGTTTGTTTACAATCTTTTGCTGCCAGCTGCTCTTACAATTTCAGTCGAAAGAATTGTCAAAAACTGTTTTGAAACGCTTTTACAAAGCTCCAATCTTCTCTAGTGAGAGCGAGTATTGTCGGCAACCAGTTTTTCTTCGGCAGCCGTTCCATTTGAACTGCATGTATATCTGCTGTTCTATTATCGGCAACTCGAAATCAGCTACAATTTGTAGTGCGTGTGTTTCATTTCAAGAAAACCCTGCTAGATTGCTTTTTCTCAGTGGTAAAAATATAGTCAAATTGAAGCTGAAAGCATAAAGAATCGTTTGCATGCATTCAGCGAAGTGTTTGCGTAAGAAAATCCAGTGAAAATAGTGTTTCAATTTGGGTTGCCGAAAATAGTCTGTCATGCCGAAGCCGTCATTTCCCCTAGTTCAGATTAGATTTTTTATAAATATTTGTTTCCAAACTCCAGCAACTTCAATATTTTATTTGAAGGCCCATTCACTTTACATCTGAAATTGAAAAGACAAAAATCAATTTGAAATATTGCTGAGTGATTGAATTCTAAAAACTCAATAAAACTGGAAACTGAAGAAAATTATGCATTTGGAAAGAATCACTCTGTTTTAATGGTTTAATCTAAAATTCTGGTGTTAAAATTTGTTCCAATGGTGTGATTAATTTATTTTTCCCGGTTCTCTCGTAAAATTCCCGGGTTGTTCCCGTTTGTCCCAGTTGCTTTTAAAATTCCTGGAAATTTCCCGGTTCGCTGGCCACCCTGCAAGTTAGAATCAGTTGCAATGAAGCATGCATGTTTTGTTATATCAGCGAAAAATATGACATTTCGAAAAGCAGATCTTTAACTTGAACTACGGACGGTTGAATTTCAGGATGTGCCTGATATGCAATTATTTTGTTTGATATTTCACATCAACTGACTTGATGTTGTTTTCCCATTTTTCATGATCAAAGTCCGTAGTTTTATCAAGTAATATGAAAGTAGATGCCAACTGATAGTGGATAACGATGTTGACGAAAATCCATATGGGACTGATATGCGATTATAGGCAGTAAACCACATGAAAAATGCATCTGTCAAACGCATCAAAATTCGTCTGTCTTAACAAAGAAGCTGGCTGGTCAGTTCTTTTCGGTTTTCGTGTTGAAAATCAATTTTTATAATAACGATGTTCCGGTACTATTTATGCAATTTTGTCATACTTTTGCAAAGTTGCATTAGATATGATGTTTGCGTCAAATTAGGCTCATAGAGTTCCTAATTATTTTCAGAGCAACATATAGAATTCGAAAGGAAGAAACTCAATTCGTTTTGGTTCTGTTCGTTCTGGTCCATCAGGCATAAGAGATACAGATTTGAATTATTCACAACTATTGTAGCTAATTATAAAACCTACAAAAGCTTAGTAGGGGAAATGGATGTAATGTCGGCCTAAATGTCCTTAATTTGGGCCCATACATAAATTCAGCAATCCTAAATTTTCAATAGCGACCAAAAATATCCATCAGTGCCATCCTAATGACGCGTTTATCTAGATAAAATTGATAAATAGCAGATTTTTAGCGATGGGCCCAATCCTTGATCCATAGGCCAACATTAAAGCCATTTCCCCAACATATTTTACGGAATTCTGTTGATAAAATGAATGCACGAAATGAATGTAAATGTTTGTCCATAAAAATTTTTAACTTTAAAGCAGCACTCAAATAGCGATTTAATCGATATAATCGCGATCTAAGATTTGATTTCGAAACACAAAACACTCCTCAAATCGCGATTTAGGCCTTTATTAGGGACATAAAGATGATTAAAAATTTCTAACCCCAAAAGACCCCTCAAATCGCGATTTAGGCCTTAATTAAGGCGATAAACGCGATTTAGAATTTCGATCACCGAAACATCCCTCAAATCACGGTTTATGGATTAATTAAGGAGATAAAGGTAATGTCGAACCCATACAGACCCCTCAACTCGCTATGTAGGCCTTAATTATGGATATAAATGCTATTAAAGATTTCAAACCCTAAAAAACCCCTTAAATTGTGATTTACGCCTCAATTAAGGAGATAAAAGCTATTTAATATTTCGAACCCCAAAGCACCCCTCAAATCACGGCCACAATCAAAGGCCTCAATTATGGATATAAAGCCGATTAAAGATTTCGAACCCAAAAACACCCCTCAAATCGCGATTTTGGTCTTAATCAAGGAGAC